AATTATAAACAATTAGAAAATATATAACCTTAACATAAGAAGTTTCACAACTTGGAACTGCACTTTTTTTTTTTTTTTCCCATGCTTTTACAAGTTCGTTTCAGATCAATCCCAAATTATTCCCCAGCTGTTTCTTTGGAACACTGGTTGGGACAGGAAGTTTCTGCCCTTCTCTGGGGTGCTGAACTGCAGCTTCTTGGGCTTCTCACACCTTAGGATTTGAGACTGAGTTAACTGAAACACTGGCAAGTGTCAGTGCAGATCCCACAAAACTTTGTGATTTGTTTTAGCTGAAATAAGAAGTATCCTGGAGCAAACAGTTTGAAGTAGATTTTTTTCCCCTTTTTCTCCTTTATTTACAATTGTGCTGATCTGCTGGAGTGAGCTGCCCAGCAGTCTGAGGCACAGAACAGAACCTGCAGTCTCCATATGCCTGGACAGATGCCTTAACAGCTGGGCTGTTAAGAGGTGGTAGGGTGCAACTCCCTTCCCTCCAAAGCCAACCAAAGCAACCCCTCTTCGTGAAGCTGCAAGTCCTGTCCCAGGCTTTCTCCTTGGATGTCCAGTATCTGTTATCCTGCTCTGTATGCCGGTAGTAGCAGAGGGGATGAAGAAGCTGGAGAAGTAGATCCTGCAAGGATTCAAAGAGAAGCACAGCACTCCTTCTCCCCTCTTGGTTGGTCCCTAGGAAGGGAGAAAAGAGTTGAGCCTGAACAAGCAGGAGCCCTGTACCTGCTTTTCCTGGCCCCTTCATGCCCATACCAAGATGCTGTGGAACAGCCTTGCTTCACCCCAACCAGCCTCACCCTTGCTGGCTGAGCCCTCAGCTGGAGCTCCAGCAGGAGCCAGGACAAGTGCAAGTAATGAAAAGCATCTCTGAGAGACCCCCTGATGCCTAGCATCCCACAACATCCCTTCCTCCTCCTGTTCTCCATTCTGGGGCACACTTTCAAGATAATTTTCATCACACAGCTTCCAAGAGCAGACAACTCCAGAAAAGCTTCTCCCACCCTTGCCCACCTATCTCACCTCCCCTTGTTCCTAACAGGCATTCAATGTCCCAGGGCCACATCCTGCACAGAACCCCCTCCCAGTCCCATCCCCAAAGCCATCTCAGTACTGTTGCTCCATGGAGGCAGTGGGCAGCATGTCACATCGGCTGCTGTACACCACCACCCCAGGTGGGTAGTAAGCCAGCTCCGGTTGGGCAGCCGCAGCTGCAGCTGCAGCAGGTGCAACAGGGTGGGCAGGCACCAAGGCATGCAGGGCTTGCTCCTCCTGCTCTGGCTTGGTGGTATCAGTGAAAGGACGCATGGTGGTGAGAGAAGGCGAGGTGATCCTCCAGAGGAGGCTCTTCAGTGCCTTGCGGAACTCCCTGCGCATCAGGCAGTAGAGGACGGGGTTGAGGCAGCTGTTGGAGTGTGCCAGGCACACGCTGATGGGGAAGAGGTACACCTGGGAGAGGAAATACTCAGCACTGAAGTGCACCACATTGAGCTTGATGAGGATGCCCCACGTTGTGAGTGCTTGGTTGGGCAGCCAGCACAAGAAGAATGACAGCACCACGATGGACACTGACTTAGTCACTTTAGAGCGGCGTTTGGTGCTGGGACCACTGCAGGTACTGCCAACGTGCTTGTCACTGATGAAGCGCACCAGGAGCAAGTAGCAGAGGCTGATAATGGCCAGAGGCAGCACGAAGCCCAGCAGCACCTTTTGGGTTTGGTACAGACCCAGCCAGAACTGTGCATTGCTGCCTCGGCCCTCGGGGAACTTTACAAGGCAGAGGACATCATCAAAGACGGTGGCAGTGGTGGAAAAAATGGCTTGGGGCAGAGAAGCCACGATTGCTAACAACCAGATGAATGCACAAAGCCACTTGGCAGAGCAGCAGCCACCCAGAGGGTCACCTCGCCCCTGGTTCTTCAAGGCTGAAGCCACAGAGCGATATCGAGCCACACTCATGGCAGTGAGGAAGAAGACACTGGCATACATGTTCATGGCTGTCACATAGGAGACAATCTTACACATAGCTTTGCCGAAGAGCCAGTTGAAATCTAGGGCATTTTCCACAGCCCAGAAGGGTAAGGTCAGCACAAACTGGAAGTCAGTCACAGCCAGGCTCGTCACAAAGAGGTTGATGGAGGACTTCCTCCAGCCTTGCTTACTTTTCATCAGGTAGAGAACCAGCAGGTTGCCCACCAGCCCCAGGGCACACACCACGGAGTACACCAGGGAGATGACAATCCGCACCACGTCGGAGCTGTCTCCTTGCATCCCATCGGCTCGTTCCAAATTGAAGTTCTTGAAGAGCTGCAGGAAGGACACATTGCTCTTGTTGCCCATCTGGCCGCCTTCCAGCAAATCCAGCGGTGCGTCCCAGGGATCCCGACCCGCTCCTTCTTTTATGCCGGCGGCCGCCGAGCAGGAGTCGCGCTCGCACGGCTCATCCATCCCATGCTCGGGGACGGCGGAAGCTTCGCTTCCCAGCGCCGGAGAGCGAACCGTCGGAACACGGCAGGCAGCGGCTGTGCCGCTTGGTGGGGCGGTGCGGCCGCCGCGCTTATATCCGTTCCCGCGGGGCCGGGGCATGCGCGGCGGCGGCGGAGCTCTCCCGGGTGCTGAGTGCCGCGGCCGCGCCCCCTTTTCAACCCCTCCTGCTCTGTGTTCCAGCCCCGGCAGGCAGCGGTGGCCGCACGGCTCCAGCTCTTGGTTTTTAGGGAGTTCTCTCCGCTGTCCCGCGCTGGGACGGGAGTGTGCGTGAGTAGCTACCCACGGCAAAGAGGTGCTCAGCCGCCTCTCCCTCCATCTCCGAAAAAAAAAAAAAAAGTCTGGACGGTGTTTTATTCCGAGAGCAGCCCTGCCTTTCTGCATCCGTCCCGCGGAGCTTGAGGAGTGCCGGTGGCGCTGATCTTTGCTTGGCGGCTCCCTTCCTTCCGCGGAAATTCTGCACGCAGCGCAGGGGCACACGATTCACAGAGCCACGGGACGTCCCGAGGTGGAAGGCACCCTTAAAGATGACTGAGTCCAACCCCTCGCTCCACACTGCACCACCCAAAAAACAAACCCTATGTCTGAAAGCGGCGTCCAAACAGTCTTTGAGTTCCGTCAGCTCAGGGCCGTGCCCACTGCGCTGGACAGCCTGTTCCCTGCCCACCGCCCTCTGGGGCAGAATCTTCTCCTAACCATCCCCGACCCTCCCCTGATGCAGTTCTGTGCCGTTCGCTCGAGTCCCTCCAGCACCTTTCCAGCTCGGAGGAAATCACAGGGCAGCTATCGCTGTTAACGGAGCAGCCCGGCGAGGGGCTGAGACCGCGCTGACAGCAGCTCCGGCAGCCGCCCGCCCGCAGGGGGCCCCGGCGTACCGGCAGCGGCTGCGCCCGGTCCGGAGCTCGGAGACTTTCGGGACCCCCCGCTGCCCGGCACCGCGCCTGCAGGCGGCTCCCTGCAGCAGAACGGAAAGCAACAGGTGAGAAGTGAATCGGGGCTTTCCTTCTCCTCTTCCCATGTTAAACGGAGCAAAATTAGTGCACAATTTGAAAAGGAAATAGATCCCACACGTACTTAAATATACCGTACCAGCTGACCACCTTCTCTGTAGTCTCAATGCAGACTTATTTTACTGAAATTCCTGCAAAAACATCAATGTGTGTGTGCCTCTTGTTGCGAGTGGTCCACTTTCCACTATGTTCTACATCTGTGGTAACCTTGTGAAAGTATCAGCCAGTTAATGGAAATGCTGGCAGAGAATGTGAGTAATCTGGAAGTTCTTTGCATCGACTCTATTGCACATAACAAATGAATAACTAAGTGGAATTAGCTCTGTTATTAACTGTAATGCTCTGGGGAGGTTTAGCCTCCAGATTACTTGCTATGCTAAATACGTGGGTACTGGCATAAAAAAAAAAAAAAAAAATTACAGTGGGGACAGGAGAGAAATCATAGCTGAAAATATATTGCTTTTTGTTATCCACGCAGAAAAAGCTACAGAGTGAGAACGGAGGTACCTGATGAGAATATTGATAGTGGATTTTGAGCTCAGGAATGCAAGTGCAACATACTTGCCCAGGTCTTTTTACTCACATTCTGACCACCAGACAGATTTCTTTGTAGCTTCAAATGGTCTGTCTTTTTCTTTCATCATCCTTTACCAAATAGGATTTTTAGAGGCAGTAAAGAGAACTTGTTACAGTTAGGTGAATAGTCAAAGAAATGTTCACTGTATGTTTACAGTAATTTATTCATCACATTATCAGGACATTTCTGTAGCTGGAAAATGTATAAAACGTCATCTGATTTTTTGAAGAAGTGTTGCAAAATTCTTCATTCACATCGCCCAATGTTTTTTTTTATTTTGGAGAAAGCTACCTTCTACTTGCTCCATGTAAATGCAGTAACCTTGCCAAAGACTTATCACTAACACGTGACTTTCAGGAGTCTTCCTTTTATCAAATTGTTGGTGCAGCTGGCTTTACTGAATCAATCTTTCTGAAAACCCTAACAAACTTGTTGGGCTTAGGCTTCCAAGGAGTATTCTGATGCCTGCAATAAAAGTGGCTGATTTGCTTACTTCTGAACTCTCAAGCAGATCGTTTAGAGCTTTGTGTGAGTCTTTTGGGGTTTGTATAATGCTGTGCTGCAATAACCATTGGGCCATCTTCACTTATTTTAAGGCAGCATTGTTCTAAACAGCAAATGTAGAAGGCTGTCACCAGAGAGTTGCAGTGGCAATTGCCCCTTGGGTTCAACTCTATCGCGTCAGAGTGAATGTGACAGAATGAAATGTGCCTCTGCAAATGCCTCTAAAACAACCTTTAGGAGTGTTTCAGATAAATATGCCAAATAAACACTTGCTGAAAATTGTAATTTACTTGCTGTGTTCCTTGAAAGATCTATATAATATTTTCACTTGCTTGACAAATCTCTTCCAGAAATGAAGGATTGGCTATGATTACAGCAGTGGCTGAACTCTAGCAATTCTAGAGTGCCTTGACAGAGGGAGATGGGGCTTTGTTTTCATTTTGAAAGTTTGTTGTTTTTGTTTGTTTCTCTCTTTCTTTTGTAGATGAAACTATATTTTTGAATTATTGAATGTATAATTATTTCAACTGCAGAAACGTTTTTAGTGGAACTGTTTCTCAGGGCATTTTTGAGGCAGCAAAATTGGTTCGTTTATTTATTTATTTATTTATTTATTTATTTATTTGACATACCAAAGAAAGGACCAGTAGTGTAAAGGTCTTGCTGCATTTCATTAAAAAGAGTTCATAATGCTTTACTTAGAGTGACTTGACACTATTCTTAAATGTTACATTCTTTTTATAGTTCTGTTTCTTTCAATTTTCATTTATGTGTGTATATATGTATACGTATATTTGTGAGAGAGGCAGAAACAGAAATAGGAAAAATGAAAGAATATTTAACATATATTTATTTTTCTCTGGTCTAATTTCTTATATGGTCTCCTCTTGGCTTTTTATGAGCTCACGGCTGAGATCTCATATTCAGATATTCAACTCTTACACATGGAACTGCATTTTATGGCTCTGCTATCTCTGTCCTGATGGTGAATATTCGGTACAATTTGGTGTGTTTCCAGTACAAGAAGACATTTGTGGCAACATGAGAGATAAATATACAGCTTTTCTTTACAAAACCTCACTTAGATAACACAGTTGTCATGTCCAAGGGTAAAATCCTTGTCAGGCTTCATGGAACATGGTACACTCTCCAGAAAGTATTGCTTGAATGTAGATATAAATTGTAATGATCTATGTGGGTCCCTTCGAATTTGAGGTATTCTGTGATTTTTTCCATGTCCTCTCCTCACTGAATTCCTACACACATCATTAAGAACATATTTTCATGACACTAATTAAAAAAAAAAAAGTTAATTTCAAAGTGAACTACTGCTCCGCAATTTTGCTTTAAATTGTTAATATAGACAGTAAGATCAAAGGAGCTTTTAAATTTACATGGACAAAGTGATCATTTTGAATATTATCTGTTCAATTACAAATAATCCAAGTTTGAACACTGGAATCTGAATGTAAACATCCCCTCTCCTCTTTCCTCCCCCTTTCCCTTCCCCCCAATTCTTTTAATGTAACTACTCACTGCTTTAGAGTTTGTTTCTGTCTATTACTAGAATCTGCTCACAGACGTACCACAAGTGGAATGTAAGCAAATATTATTTGCATGAGTAACTAACTTAAGAAATTCCAGAAATATTTAGAGTAGAACCGAAATGGAATGGGAGATCCAACATTGTCTCTATTCCAGTTACCAGAAATTAGCTGTGTTAGGAGACTGCATCTCTATCAGAGAAAGAGGGGAAAAGATTATTTTTTAAAAACGATGTTATCACATACATCTAAATTTGTCTCTGAAAAGAGGCAGCAGATGCACAGATGCACTCAGCATATTCTCTAGTGCCCTTGGGATTTGGAGTCATTCCCTCAAAGTTCGTTTCCCTGCTAATACTTTCTAGCTTTAACATGGCTCACCACAACATATGTGATCTATCTCCTTAACAATTCTAATCCAAGCAGATTCTTAAGCTGCCTGTATAGTTAACAGGCAGTCAGGCCCAGAAGATGTTTCACCTTGTATGAGACAGATAAGGATGTACCTTCCTCCAGAGCACCCCTCTGCTGACAGACGGAGCAGACAAGCAAGCATTTATTACAGGCCTTTTAGATCTCTAAACTTAGGGTAGGAGATGCTAATTCTCAATGTCTTCAGCTGGACTTCAGCTTTTCGCAGCTCCTTGATGTCAAACCATGCAGTTCATGGTGCTGTTCCTCACTTTTCTTTAGCCACTGCTTTTCCACTTCTCTACACACATTTACACAAATACATGGAATTCTATACACACATTTATTTTATCTGAGGTCTGGAAGTCCACTAAGGGAAACAGAAGGGGGTTCAGGGATGGGCAATTTGGCAATGTACCTTGATTGTATGTCTTGGCATTTCTGATCTCCTTTCAGTAAATGTACAGGCACTGAACCATAGTACCATTGCTGTCACAGGAATATAATTGATGTTGTGATGTGTTCTTTTACTTTTTGTCATTGACATTGAGTTATAAAAAGAAAAAAATAGTGCTCACTTTCTCAAAAAGTTCTAAAAGCTCAGGTTATGACTCTCTTGGAACAGGAGACAATGACTTAATTCCTTATCATGAGAGTTTAACAACTTCTTGTGAATGGCAAATGGTCTAACATGTAGGTATTCTATTTTCATAGCCCACAAATGCTGTCCTATGTCAAATCTGCTCTGAGAAGTCACAGTTCCACGGATTTGGAGCACCAAAACAGCTGGCCTCAGTATGTCTGCACAGCATGGAAGTGCCTTCTACTTGTGCCACTGCTTCACGTTTTCAGTGTCTGTCAGCCAGCACCAGAGCAGCCTGCAAGTTGGAATCCAGCTGTTTCCCCAGTGTATTTTCTGACATCACACCCAGTATACGTGTATGTGAGTGCTGGCACAAAGCCCAAGAGATCATAGATGTTTTGGAT